ACTTCCAGCAACCCTGGCAATCTCTGGCAAGTTGTGAACTCCAAAGGGCTTGGGTGGCTCTACCCCTGCAGCACTGTTGATGGTTGTAACTCCTAAGAAAGCCCCGCCTCATCTGCATGAGGCTTTGGGGGAGCATCTAAACACAAGCCACAGCTAATAAATGTTTATAGTGGGAAAATAAACACAAGCCATAACAATAGAGAATCTACAAAAATTGAACACCTAAGCTATCAAGTATGTCAAAGCCTGTAAGTAAGGAGGGGAGTTATTTCCTCTGAAAAATGCATATGTTCAAGCTGTGTTTATTAAACAAGGGCATACATGTGAATGAAAAGTAAAAGTCATGTAGATGTTTATTTCCAAAAATTCAGTTATTTGCAAGCATCCAAAAATAATTATATATGCCTGGAAGATTTAAGGTTTTTCTCTCAAAGACTTAGAAAGGACTATGTCAATTTTTGTTATAATCCCACTAGCCCACTGATCCCCATTTAATAAATATTGGATGTCTGAGTAAAAGTCAATGCTGTGAGGTTCCAAAGATGTTGTTATATATCATCAAAAAACAAGGTGAAAATATATGTCCATAAAAAGATTTGCACAAGAATATATACAGTTTTATTCACAGTAACCCCAGCTAGGTGTCGTGGCACACGCCTGTATTCCCATCACCAGAGAGGCTAAGGCAGGAAGATTGCCACAAGTTGAGGCCAGCCTGGGCTGCATAGTTCAAGGCCAGCCAGGCTGACTATATAGTGAGACCCTATCTCACAAAAAATAACTTTTTTAAACATCTTTTTTTTGGGGGGTGGAGACCTAGCACTTTCGAGGCAGGAGGCAGAAGCACTGAGCTAATCTCCGACCCCTCACAAAAATTTTTTTTAAAAAGCTCCAATCTGAAAACACCCAAATATCTATCAACCAGAGAATGAGTAAATAAACTGTGACAAAATCATACAATGGAATATTTCATAATAATTAAAAATAGATTGCTGGGCCACCCACTTTCTAGTCCCCCTTCTGTCTCCTTAGACAGAAGCTTTCTTTCCCTCAATAAATTTTTCCTACTCTTAACCTCCGTTGTTCCTAGAATTCATTCTTCAATGTTAGAGAACAGGAACTCGTGTTTCAGATATCTAGCGGGTTTGGGAGTTACATCTCTTCCCCTATATCATTTTGGAGGTCTTCCACTGAGATTACTGGTCAGAGATTTTAAAGCTATGCAGCTACCAAGATGACAGTGCCTGGTACCTATCGAAGGCCTTTAGATAGAGCCCCTGTAGAGTAACTAACTGCTGATCACAACTACGACCCTCTTCGGCTCCAAGTAGCCAGAGCTGTCTTCACCCTTTGCCCCCTCACAGCAGTTAGGGGTACTTCTTCAGAGGGGGGATATTGCAGAGAGAATGTGAAACTTCAGAGACATACCAGCAGAGCTTAAAGATGGTGGCACCGCTTTCCTTCAGAGAAGCAATGGCTCTGCAAGCAGCTTTGCCAGGTTTGCCTGCTTCAGCTGGCTCTCAAATGGGAAGATGACTGTTTTTCTTCTGCCAGACACAAGGAGGCACTGTGCAAGGGTTAGGAGGGAGAGAGTCTTGAGGTGAGAATGTGGGCAGGTCAGCTGAGGCTGAAGTCATGTTCAGGTTGGAGTATCCTGCACCTGAGATGGCTGTGGACACTCCCTGTTGACTCATAGGCCAGCTGGATTGTCAAGACCATGTGGCCTTTCTATCAAGGGTAGAAATCTCGAAGAAGCAGGGACACATTCAAAGGCAAGATCAAGACAGGAGTAGGAGAATCGTCATCATATTGATTTATTGATGGATATATTCAAATTACACATTTCTTGCATGAGCATTATACATGCTAAGCTCTTCTATGTACATATGGACCACATAAATAAAAAGAAGAACTACACTTACGGAACATTTATTACCCTAAGAAAGTGGAGGAGAAAACCTAAAAGGTGAGAATACTTAAGGACTTAGCCAAAGCACAATCCAGCGATTACAGATGTAGAAGATAAAAAAGGTTATTTAAGAATCTAAAAAGGAGCAGGAATTTAGCTCAGTGGTTCTGCCACCTGCCTTGCAAGTGCAATGTCCCGAGTTCAATCCCCGGTACCCAAAAAGTCTAAAAAATGTATGTCTTAAAAAACAGAAAATATGAGAGTGTTTTACTCTGACGCCAAATATGGTCAATTATATTACTGTATTGTTTCAACAAATCTCTCCAAATTTTTTTTTTCTTTGAGACAGGGTCTCACTATGTAGTTGAGACTGACCTGAAACTCACTATGTAGCCCAGGCTGGTCTTGAACAGCAGTCCTCCTGCCTCAGCCTTCTGAGTGCTGGGATTACAGGTGTGTGCCAGCACACCTGGCAAATCTTTTCAAATTTATGGCATTTTTTTTATAGAACTGTATCCTTTATCACTAAAGTGGTGGAGAACATTTCTCCATGACTTGGACTAGAACTAAATCCATCTCTAGACCTTAAGAGACCTGCATATTTCTGTCTTCATATCTGTGCATCTTCCATTTCTAGGAAAATGTTTGGACTGGCCTGCTTGCCCCAGGATGAGAAAGATGTGAAGCAGGACTTCTTATGGCCTTTTCCTTAGTGTGTGTCTCTGTGCCCTCGGCTCATCTTACAAGAGCACCCATCTTTGGTTTTAGAACCAATCTGAATCCAGAATATTTAAGTCAATTGCACATTCAAAGTTCCTGTTTCCAAATAAGGTCACAGTCACAGAACCGGGAGTTAGGACTTGGCTGTATCATTTTAGGAGATGCAGTTCGGTGTACCACAAAGTGTACAAAAAGTGGTATAATTTCTTGCCCATTAAATATTCTCTCAATAAAGGGTCCTGGTTTAATCCTGTTTCAATATTGTGCCAAATAGATACCAAAGAATCAACAAATATGCTGAAAAAATTCTCTAACGTATAGTATTCAAGGACATAGTAATAACTTCTATTGTATTAATAGTTTATATTCTAATTACCAGGAATTCTTTATTGACCTAGATCAACATATTTAAACCTCCTCTCTTAAAAATTACTTGGATGGTATCTTCTGCCATACGGTCTAAGCAGCTTTTTCCCCCTTCATCCTCAATTTTTTGCAAAACCTATTAAAAATAATCTCATCAAAATCACGTATGGTCTTCAATATGAAATAAATTGAAAAATTATCTTAAAAAAATAGATTACTAAGGGCCAGGGATTTAGCTCAGTGGTTCAGGCACCTGCCTGGGAAGCTTAAGGACCTGAGTTCAATCCCTGGTAGCCCCCCAAAAAAAATTACTAAGCCAGGCATAGTGGTGCAGTTTTGAAAAAAGAAAACAAAAATTTTGCTACGGGGATCAAACTCGGGACATTACACTTGGGAGGTAGACAGTGGCACCACTGAGCTAAATCGCCAGTACCCCCAAAAAATTTTTAAGCAAAAAATTGAGCTGGACATAAAGGCACACAGCTATAATCCCAGCATTATGCAAGGCTGAGGCAGGAAGATCCAGCCCAGCCTGTATAATTTAGCAAGACACTGCCTCAAATTACAAAAATTCAGGAAAGGGATAGGGATGTAGCTCAGGGAGAAGGCTCTGAGTTCATCCTATATTGAAGAAAAAAAAATTTTTTTTAATTAGTAAATGTCGTATCATCTCTTAGGCTCAAACAAATGTCCTCAGACACTTTTTATCAAGTTATACCTGGATCAAGAACCCAAAGTAACTTTTCTCATCTGTCAAATCTATATCATTTTGATCTCCATACAAAACCTCCTGCATTAGCTTCTGGCACTTCCCACCCTACCAATTTAATCTGAACACTGGCCCATGCTGGCAATTTGCTCTTTTCTAATTCTCCTCTGTCCTTATCCTGCCTGAATCCTACTCAAATTTCTTCAAGCCCCACTTTAAATAAGAAGCCTCTTTCAAAGAGGAACTCTTAATCCTAACCAATGTGACCATCCAATGTTCCCTCAGTGTTTATGTTCCTTTAATGGACTGTATTGGATACTTTTAAGTCACATCCTGTGTATACCTACAAGAGAAGCAATTTTAATAAAAGAAGCAGACAAGTGTCTAGGGACACCTTTGAAAATCCCTGTAGAACTCAATTCAGAACCTGCATATGTGGGCCAATCAGCACAACTTGAATTGTGAAGATTAATACACCTTGACAAACAGATGTTTGTTTGTTTGTTTTATTTTTTCAGATGTTTAAAGACCAATGAAAATGGTATTGAGAGGGCCGAGAAGTCTCTGCAGGGGCCTGGGTGGGTTGTTGGAATTGTTTCCTCTTTACACAGATGGCTGGAACTGGTCTCCCCGGATAGCAAGTGGCCAAAATGCTATATATTCTTTTTTGTACTCCCTCCCCGCTCTTAAACCAATGAAGACAAAAAGAGCCAACACTGCTCTCCAACAGGCAACGCCTGTTCCAAGCGCCCAGTTCTCCAGATTTCTGGGAAGATCGTGGAGGAAGAAGGCAGGAGCATTCAAGGCCAAGGAGGGACTTAAGGCTCATCCCCTGGACTTATACTCAACACGTACGCAGAAAGACAAATTACAAACTCCAACGCTCACAACCACATATACACGTGCCCGCCCAGCCCCACAAGAAGCAGACGCGCACGCCCGTGTGCTCGGGCATTACCTAGTTTTCTCTGGACGCCCCGCTCACCCACTCCCTTGAACCAGCCTGATATCCCCTACCGAGACGTTGGTGAGGTTTACCAGGCGGGGCTGCGAGACTGTTTCCCCGTGGGGGGAAGGGAGGCCCTTCCCACCCGGGCGGAAGCAGCGCGCGCCAGCCGGGCAGACTTAGCTCTTGTCCTGGGAACATCTGGAGGGAGTTGGGAGGAGCGTGCAGCTAGAATAGATGAGGATTGGCTGTGCTGGAGGAGGAAGGCGGGGTCTTGGTGAGGGGCGGGACTCATTGGCCCCTTTAAAGCCTTGACATCAAGAGGCGGCTCCGGCACCCCCCTTTCTCTGCCCCCCGCCCCCGAGCCGCGGCCATGGACCCTGCAGATCTAGCTTGCCCTGGCCCAGCTCAACACCTGATTTCGGTGAGTTTCAGGCCTACTAGGGATTTAAAGGGCGGTGAGGTGGTAGGGGGCTATGTAAGCTCCGGTCGGGGGGCTGGGGAGTGTGCAGAGTAAGGCAGTTCTGGCAACCTTGGGTCGTAGGGGGTATCACGGCTTCCTGCGCGCCCCTCGCGGCCTGCCCTTCCTTCCCGCTCCACTGTCCCAGGGGTCCGGCTGCGACTCCGTCCACCCTACCCCACCCCCTCCCGCCCCCTGCGCCATCCTCGCGCACACTCCGTGGCCCCGGAAGGGAAACTTTCGGGAGTGGGGGATGTTCCGGTGGCCTACCTCCCTCCCTCTTTGAAAGCACTGACCTTGTCCCAGCTGCGCAGCCCACCCCACCCGTATCCCACCGTCCGGTGCTGCGCAGCGGTGCAGGGTTGGGGGGCGCTCTCCCCGAAGCGCAGGCGCAGAAACGAGCCTGGGGCTGCTCTTCTCACTCCTTCAGTCCCGGTGGCCTAGGGCGGTAGGGCATGGGGGAGGCAGGGAGAGGCGGAGACCTGGTCTCTGGGAACAGCCCTTCTGAGGCTTTGAGGGGCTTCGGGAAGGAGGAGGAAGCCCGGCCAGCCGTCTGCACCCTGAAGAAATGCTGAAGGAGAGAGAAGGGTTAGGCAGGGAATAGGGACTGGGCAGGGCCTGCGGAAAAGGTTCTCTGTGCCCTGACTGCGGTGCCAGAAGAATGCAGAAAATCTATCTGTGCCCGCCACTCCCCTGGTTTAGCCCGCCTGAGAAAGTGGCTGTCCTACCCCAGCTTCTCTTTGTACTAGACCCAAAGTCCCTCAGTCTTTCCAGTCCTGGCACTGCCCCAAGGGCACAGAGAGCCCTTGCCTTCCATAGGTCTGATTTTCCAGGCGACTCAGTCCTGGATCAAGTGAGCCTGCCCAGCAGCTGCTTCTTAAAGGCCTGCCTTCCTGAGGGGCCAGGGGACTGTAGTGGCGTCCCCTCTTTTCCCTCCCTGTCAATCCACACCTCCGCCGTGGGTCCATGCGTCTAAACACACTTGTTAGCCAGAGGAAGTAGTGGGACGCAGAGCCCTGGAACAAGGGTGATCCTTGGGAAACAGTGTAGAGGGGTCCATATCTAACCATTATGTGGTCAGTGCTTTTGGGGAAAATGAATGTCACCCACCTGCCTTGTCGCAGCCTTTATCCTGCAGACATCTTCCCAGTTGGCTCTCAGACCCCTTGGTATGGCCAGAAGATCAACGAAATTCACTTCTCAAATGGCCTCTCCCCAAACACACACTTCTAAGAACAAACGGGGATCAGTGGGTTCTTAACCTAGAGAAACCACATCTTCCTGTCTGAAGAGGGTATTCCTATACGGTTAATTTGTTTTCAAAATTTGGTCCATGTGTGTTGTGGCTTCAGCCCTCCAACATCCTTCTCTGGCTCATGCCTCTGAGGAGAGAGAACCTAGAGCTGCAGAGGAGTAGGTACTTCATGGCAGGCAGGTAGAAACCTACGCACTGAGAGAAATTCAGCAATGCTTTTCCTAGTCTGCTCTGTGACCTTGGCCAAGACAGTTTGCCTCTCTGAGATTCATTCTCTTTCCTCTTTAAGATTTAGTGGGACTAGAAAGGTCTAAAATTCCCTTTTACTTTTTTGGTATTGAATGGTTCCACTGGTGGGTGACTAGAAGGGAGAAAGGTCCTGTGGCAGAATGGCTCCATTTAGAGAGCTAGAGTGGTGGTTGTCACAGTTACTTAGGATTAGAGAAGCAGACTCCCTCATCCTGCCTGGCTATTCTCAAAACAGTCATTGTTCTGCACTCTCCTGGTGCCTTGGGATATGAACTGTTGGCGGTGGGTTTGGCCCACCCATCGAGACCTCTGGTGAGACATCCTGGCTGGGCTACTCTTTGAGTTGGGCCTTTGGGGAGGGGTTGAGAGTAGAGGAGGCAGCCAAGGGCCAGCAGGGTAAGCAGATTCCCAGGAGACAGCTTGCATCCCAGCTGTTGGAACTTGTTTTAGGTTCTGGGCCAGGGAGCACAGAATACTCATCCACCTATGGAAGAGGACAAGGAGGGCCTCACTGCTGTTTCCCATCCCACTCCCTGGCCCTTCCTACCTAGCTCTCTACCTAGGCAGCGGGGCTAAGGAATCATCCTGCTGCCTTCAACCAGCCAAGTAGAATCGAAGAGAAGCTGCCCCAACCCTACCTTTCCCAGCTCCTTTGTTCCTGGGGATAGGGCTGTCTCAGGAGTCAAATCTCTCCAGGTTGGGACTTGCTTCCCAGCCCAAGAGCCAAAAGGCCTCCTGTTCTTCTTGTTTGTTTTCATCTTTGGTCTCCCAGGTGAAGAGGAATGTTAAAGGAGAGGTGGTGGTTAAAGAGGCCCTGGGACTGGTTAGGTATGAGGCACATTGTCCTCCACTGCCCTCTCCCTACACTCCTGGGCCTGCACACCCTCTGCCCAGGACCCTGTTGGTGAAGTTACAGCAGGAGACATTAAGGTTCGACCCCAAGGAAACCTTCCTCACTGCTCTGAGCCCTTGGAATGGATAATGGAAGCTCTCAGGGAGGCCATTTTTCCCAGAAAGTGGCTCATAGTGGAATGCCTGTCCAGCAAAGGATGCAGCTGTTGCTAGGCAGAGGCTGCTGTTCCTTCTTGGGGTGTGGCTCTAGGCTTGACAGCCAGAGGCTCCGTTAGAAGTAGGAGGAGAAAGGACTCTTGCCTGATAGCCAAAGTGGGGTTACTGGTGCTCTGGGCTGACCAGAGTTGCCTCAGAAATGTCCATTCTCACTCCCACATCCCCCAGTCTCTTCCCCAAGTCACTGTTACTATCACAGTCTGCTTTGACAGCCCTCATCCGAACCTGGCCGGCGCCTTCAGCCCGTCTGGCTACACTAATGGATGATTGGATTTTCTATACTTGGAGTTTGGGATTTCTGATTGAACATGCAAATTTATGTAAATCGACCTGAGATCTGCCGCCGCATCAAAACAACACAGAGCTCCCACAGGCTGGAAGAAATCCTAGAGACAGTTTAGTCCAATGCACTCACATTAAAAATGGGGAAATCGAAGTCCAGGGGGGCAAGTGATTTATATGGTGGTATCAGAGGCAAGCTCCTGACTCTGAACTCTAGTTTTATATGTTAACACTCTGCCTTTATTTTTCATTCATGTGGGAGCCTGGTTGTATTTAAAGCAGAGAAGGCCAGTTGTTGAACCTAGACTGCAGAGAGGGGCCCTAGAGGGTTAGAGTATTATCCCCAAGGCCTCCCGGGAATGCTGATCAGCTTTCTACAATGCTGAAGAAAAGTTCAAATCTCCCCTAATATTGGAGGATAAGGTCACTAGTTACTGTCTGGCTTGGCCCTTAGGGTTTCCTTGCAGTTTAGATTGTATCTGTTCCTAGGATCTGCCACAGTGCTCAGCGCATAGTAGTCTGAGAGTGAATATGAAATGCCTCCATCTCTACCCTTCCCTCCTAGTTTGAGTCTCTGCTTTTCCCTCTGTGGCTACAGTAGCAACGTTATTTTAGGACTGGTACCAAGGATGAATGGGAACTATAGAGATGAGCTTGGGGTTTAAGAACAGCCTCCCCAGTCCCCCTCCTTTTCAGTGCTGATTGTTAAATTTAGGGCATTACGCACGATATGCAAACCACTGAACTACATCCCCACTTCTTGACTTGTTCTCAGCCTGATCCCCACGCCCAGCTGCCAAACCCCCCACTCCCTCTTCACAGACTGCTTGTAGCATGGGGCTATTTGGGGGGGCTGAACCCTCACTTACCCTCTGGTGCCTGAGTGTACTGTAGAGATGGTGGAGATGCTTAGGCAGCCTTTGGCTTGCTTTGCTGCACCCTGGGAAGCTGACGCAAGGGCTCAAGGACAGAAGCACTGACTCTTAGCCAGAGCTACCCGCCAGGCCCTGCTGTAGCCTGGGGAGGGCCTTGGGACATGTACCTGGTGTCTTTCCTCATCTTCTCCCCAAACCCAGGTTTGGAATGAATACCCCTATATTCAGCATCTTCCCAAAACACAGCTGGTATGGAGCAGGTACCCCTAGCTCCCCACTGCTCAGCGGCCCGTGGCAGCTAGGTCCTTAGCTCCATATGAAATGAGATCCTTTTCCCTGGGCCTCAGTTTCCCACCAGCGCTCATGGATTAATAATACATCATCACTGGGGTGTGGCACCTGCTCCGTAATTACTGTTTTCCCAGCTCTGGGAGTTACACAGATGAAAGAGCCCTGTGGAGACCAGGCTGTTATTAAAGTGAATTATCATTGCTGTTATTACTGATTTCTAAAAACCCAGCTGCTGAGAGGAACTCAGTCAGGCACAGCACCCTGAACTGTGTGCTGGTCCTTGAACTCTGGGAGTTTTCTAATACTCATTAAGCTTTAAAAAATAAGTAGAAATAAATATAATTATAGCTATTTTTAAAGCAGAGAAGACCCCATTCTGCTGTTCCTGCTGTTGACTGCAGGGCTTGACTGGTAGGTGCTGCTTCTGAGAGTCTGAATTTGTTTCTGCCCCTGACCTTCTGGGTAGAAGATTGATGTTTTTCCTAGAAAGGGCTTTAGGAACCCGGCAACTGCTAGGGTCTGACCCTGAAGTTCTCAGCAGCTGAGTTCCCAGGGTCTGATTCACCTCATTCCCAGCTAGTTTGATGTGGGGGTCATAATTGGTCCTTTTGTGCAGGGATCTGTTGAGACAATCCCAGAACCTGCCTACAGCAGCTCCTACCCCAGACTCTTCTCTTGCTCATCCGCCTACCTCTGCCTCCACGCTGATTAGACTTTTCCCCCTTCCTTGGACCCAGCTCTTATGTAGGCAGAAGTAGCCCTGACTGACTTCTGAATAGTGCTACTAGTGTGTCCAAATCACAGCCTGGGGGTACAGGGCCTCTCTCCTAGCCCTGGGGAGGAAAAAGGGTGAAGGCAGAGGCATCCTGTGATGAGTCTCCACACTTATCCAGCCAGACCTACTTACCTGCTCCCTTGTCCCATAGTATGGTCCCTACCTCCTC